AAACTAGCTTTCAAGATAAGGAAAATAATACATTTTTATAAAATTTCTCAAAGTTCATTTTAGAATTCAAACTGGGGTGTACGTTATGTAGAATCTAAGCCACCATCCTTATAAGACTTCAGAAAACATGCGGCGGAACCGCGAAGTTAGCAAGGTGCGCACAGTTAGCCCGCACTTTGTCAATTTCCGAGCCCATAGAGCGCTCCCTAAACTCTCGCATTTCCTCCTGCTTCCCTCCTAACCGCTCCCTCTTTTCCTCCTTCGTGTCTCCCTTTCTTCCTGCCTTTTGTCCTTTTCTTGTTGTAATGAGGAATAAACCCAGTCTATTGCCTGCATTCTTAGGGCCCTTTTAGTTTGTTTGCTTGTTGTTTGTGTTCTGCTTTGAGACAGTGTTTTTCTAAGTTGCTGAATTTCACAGGCTTGGCTTAAATACTGATCTTTTAGTATCTAAATGCCTTAATTTTCCCACATATGATTTGGAAAATATAATGTGCAGAATATTTAAAAGACATATAGCTAAATTATACATATATATATATATATATATACACTGAATTAATATATGGCATGTGGATAGCAATTAAAATCATTTGAATTGTAACTCTAAATCTTTTCCATTATCTCTATTTCAGTTTAATAAAAGCATAACATACAATGTCTCAAGAATATGTGTCAGAGCAAAGCTGTCCTTGCATTTGATTAGGTCACCCGAGGGCTCAAGCCCTGACAGCACTGGCTACGCCCGGCTCATGAACGCTCACTCTGTGCCACAGCAGTGGCCACGAGTCTGGGGCTGAGGCGGAGGAAACACCATGGAGACTAGTGTCCTCGAAGTTCCCGATTTGGCAAAGCTTTAAACTGCGGGCAGAGCAGGAGGGTGGGAGCTCTGCTGTTCTTTGTCCCCAAGCCCTTGCCCACGCTTCCTTCTGTCTTCTTGCCAAGCTCTAGTGCACCAGTGAGCCAAGCTCCGCCTGTGAGGCAGGACCTTGGGGGATAAACCTCCCATGACCAGCGCCAAGAGGGCCCGTAGAGTCCTCAGGCTTGTGGGGAGAACTTGAGGGTGGATGTCCCTCGCTGCAGGGCTGATGCAGCATCTGAGCGTCGGCTCCGGGCAGAAGCAGGGACACGGGGCACAGGTGAGGCTGGCTGTCCTGATAATGCATGCTGCTTCTTCAGAGCCTGAGTACTTGTGGTCGAGCTGAGGTAGATTCTAGTAGAGCTGACAGAAAATCCAGTCAGTCAGAATTGGCTGAAGAACTCCATGTAATGTATGAAAATGACAGACCTCAATTAAAATAGCATTAGGCAAAAGTAAACTTTGAAAATAATGGAAATAACTGTGGCAGTGTTGACACTGCTTATGGTGTCCTGGGAGCGCTGCAGGGTGCTTTCGCCTGAGAACACCTCAGGCCTCACGGTGAAGTCCACTGCCCCAGTCCTGTACTGACCAGGCCAGTGTACCGAAATGCGGAAGGAATTAGACGTCCCCTCAAGGAAGCGCAGGCCCCAAGGGCTCGAGCCTGGGGCTTCCGACCCGGGTCCCTGCTGTCAAGCATGATGCAGCCTCATTCTCTGTGGCTTCTCCTGCGCATTTCCTCAGCACCAAGCTGGGAGGCATTTGACAATGAACAAAATCAGGGTTTTTCAATTGCAGGTCATTGATGTAAGTTTATAATGAAAGTGACTCATAGAAAAACCTCTTCAATGTTATTTTTAGGACAAAAGTAAGATTAAGAAGTAGGACCATTTTGTTCCTTTGTCTACTTAGCAGACACTGAGGCATGGAGTCTGGGGTCCAGTTTCTCAGGGTCGACTTGTGGCTTCGCGTTTCTTAGTAGTGAGCAAGGGGTCTAGCTCTCCCAGTTCACCTCTTTCCCTTTGGTGCGATGATCATCGGTGCAGCACTCAGGACACCTGGTTGGCACATGGATGACGTGAGACACGGTGTGTGCAGAGCTCGGACCCTGAGACGCCCCGGTGGCTGAGGAACCCGCTCAGCCCACCTGAGTATGGATCGCAAGCGCCTCCTGGGGCCCCTGCCAGAGCGGCAGCTTGCCTTGGGATGCCGGGCGGGTTCTCCAGTGGCACATCCGCTTTTCACACCCTCCTGCCTCAGTTTTCTTTGAGGTAAGATTCTGCAGTTTCTCATGATTCTTATTCAAAGCCAGCAGGTTGTGACACCCACGGAGAGTAACCACTTAGATTTTTCCACCTTGTTTAACACAGATAGAAGGAATAGATAGAATAATAAACACCAAGAAAATCTAAAAATGCTGGCACTGAGTGGGCCTTGACACCGAGTATTTCAAGGCTTCTACACAAGGAGCTGACTTCCTGCCACAAAGCTCACCGTCCACATCCTCAGGAGCTGGCCCCGGGCCTGGTTACTTGGTCTCAGACAATGTAATCTGAGGACAGTCACCTTCTAATAGGTACAGGGAATACTGGCAGCAGCGAGTACTAACGCAGCGAAAACAAAACCTAGAGCGCAGTAGCACACCGCAGCACTGACCTAGACCTGCGCTTGGGTAAGGACACCGGTGACTGTGGGCATGCTGGCCCACGCCTACCATGCCGCACTTGGGAGGCTGAGGCAGGAGGGCCACTGCGCGTTCGAGGCATCAGTTTGGGACCAAGAGCGCAGGCGCTGGGGTCTGGCAGCAGCTTGAGCTGCGCTCCAGCAGGAGATCGCGGGCAGACCTGCCCACCCCGCAAGACTCACTGTCGCACTGCGGTCAGCGGTGGCACTGGGCCTTCTTTGAGCATCCAGGAAATAAAGCTGCTGTGAGTCCTTTTAAAGTTTATCCAAGAATATTTAGCCGTTCTCTTAAAATTTGGCTTGTGATCTTTTGTTTTCTGTGTCGCTGCTACAGTACAACCCTACATACTTACCTTGAAAGATTTCAAACTCAAATGTTTGGGTGCGGGAGGGAAAGCCCTTCACGGCTCTGGAGGCTCCGAGGCAGCATCTGGCCTGACTGGTGGCAGGTGGAAGGTGGAACCCCCTTCGTGGGGTTCTGCTGCTCGCCGTCTCCCGGAAGTGGTCGCCCTTGGACAACAGGAGGGGCTTCCCCGTCCTTGGAGGCAGCTGGCTCGCGCCTCTTCTGCTCAGTGCTTCCTCTGAGATAGAACGTCGAGGACAACAACAGCATAATAGATGGCACCATGTGCCCTGGGATTGCATCTGGTGAGCAGAGCGCCTGCCTCGCAGCCCAGTCATGGGGCAAGCCTCACAGCGGCGCTGCTGTGCTACACAGCAGAGGCGGGCGCTGCTTCCTCGTGAGCTCCGGCCTGGGACTTGCTTCCGCCTGCTGAGGAGTTAGGGTGCCCCGGCCTCGGAATCCGCACTTCCTGCGGCATGAGCCCTGGTGTCGCGTGTTCTGCTGCTCGACGTGGAGAGCACGGGTGCAGGTCCAGCTGCGTGGCGGTGTGAGGAGGGGCCCTCACCCCGGGGCAGACCTGGTGCGGCGCGGCTCCGCAGCCTTTCCTCCCTGGGCCCTGGGGCGCCCGCAGCGACAAGCGAAGCCCTCCCCTGGAGCTTCGGGAGTGTCGCCAGCAGGCTTCCAGGGGCAGCAGCTCCGTAACTGAGGCTCACACTCGCAACCTGGCTTCACCCCATGCTTCCTGGTCAGAAAGTGGAAGTCTCTCCTTACAGTTAAAGACCAGATTTCATCTTCCAAGTTCAGACAGTCTTCCAGTAAGCTACTGAAATGCATTATGATTACTGAGACTACTATGTTTACTGTTCAATCGAGACAGCAGCACGTCAAAGGGAAGTTACAGGCAACAGGCACGTAGAGTTTAGTAATCACGGATTAAGGAAATCGAACACATCAATTTTAGAGCTTAAAGGTCTAATTTGTACTTCGAGAATCGCGTGCTGCTGGGTGGCTTTCTCGTACGCCCTGACCACAGCGCCACCCCCATTTTAGCATGCACTCAGCAGCAGAGAGCCGCCCCTTCCTCCCCAGCAGATGCCGTGCTGCTGATGGGGGGGTCTCTTAAGGCGCTGGCTTCCGTGGTTGAAGGGGATCTGGGGAGCGTTGCTAAGAACGAAGGCGTGAACGAGCTCGGATTACTGGGAGGATCTGAGCTATAGGACGGGGTGGGTTGCTCAGACACACCAGCCGCGAGGCCGCAGGCAGAGAGAACAGGTAGAGCTGAGGAAGGGCGGAGCAGAGGAAGGGCGGGGATGCGAGGGCTCTTAGATACTCTAAAGGCAAACTCCGTAAGTTTAACTTCAGAGGACCCCGGCCTGCTCACGCCTCGCGGGGCACTGAAGCTCGCCGGGGCTCACCCCTGGAGCTGCAGGAGCTCTCCTTGTGCCAGTTGGACCCGTAAAATCTAAGATGGTTTGTGGCGGCAGCGACAAGAAAGTAGTGCCCTAGTGTGACGTGGGGCTGAGGGGGCTGGGGCTGAGGGGGCGGCGCGGCACATCCAGCCAGCGCCGGCTGCCAGCTGCACCATCTCGGCCCGATGGTGACCCCCCCGGTGCGGAGCTGGCGCGGCTGACTCGGGAGTTGGGCCTCGGGTTCTTCTGCCTGACTTGGTCTGCCCCTCCTGCTCGGCACTGAGCCCAGGGCCTTGTGGGCACCAGGCCACGTGCTCCAGCCAGAGCTGTTCTGCCAGCCTCTGTGCTTGTGCCTTGAAACGTCTCTAAATTAAGTTTTGAGAACACCAGGGGCTGTGACGTAAGGGGATGACACAAGACGCATCAGGGCGCTGAGGAGAGCACCGCATGGATGTGGCCCGGGTGCCGGGCGCTCGGGCGTTTCCTAACTCGCTGCCTGCTCTCTTCCCTGCAGCAGAGCCCTCTCCTTCACAAGGCGCGTGGAATTCAGCAGACCAGGACGCCCTCGCCCAGACCATGAGCGGAGGTCCCCGCTTCCACTTAGCCTGACCCGGCGTGGCAGAACCTAGCCCCAGTCGCTGGCTGTACCCAGCCTGCGTATTTTCTTCTCCTGCCCCTCTCCTCGCCGGGGTCTGGCCGGACTCACACAATGGCCAACTTCACACATGTCTCCCAGTTCATCCTGCTGGGATTCAGAGGGGGCCCGGGCGTGCAGGCTGCGCTGTTTCTGGTATTTTTGGCCCTGTACGCCATCGCCGTGGTGGGGAACTGTGGCATGGTTGTGCTCATCCGGGCAGATGTGCAGCTCCACACCCCGATGTACGCCTTCCTGCAGAGCCTGTCCTTGTTGGACATCTGCTACTCCTCCACGATTGCTCCCCGAGCTCTGGTGCACTTCTGGGACCAGCAGCGCACCGTGTCCTTTGGGGCATGTGCCGCTCAGTTCTTCTTCCTGTCCCTTTTTGGCACCACTGAGGCCTTCCTGCTGGCCGCCATGGCCTATGACCGCTTCGTTGCCATCTGCAGCCCCCTGATCTACCCTGTGACAATGTCCCAGCAGCTGTGTGGACGTCTCGTGTTGGGATCCTACTCCTGGGGGGCCCTGAATGCTGTCACTCAGACTACCATGACTTTCACGTTGTCCTTCTGCGGGCCCAATGAGGTCAATGACTTCTTCTGTGACGTGCTTCCCCTCTTGTCCCTCTCCTGCTCGGACACCTTCATAAACCAGCTGGTCCTGCTTGGCTTCTGTGGCTCCATCATTGTTGGCACCTTCCTGGTTGTCTTGGTCTCCTACATCTACATCATCTCCACCATCCTGAAGATCCGCACGGCTCAGGGACGCCACAAGGCTTTTTCCACCTGTGCGTCCCACCTCACTGGAGTCTGCCTGTTTTTTGGTACTGTTTTCTTCATGTATGCGCAGCCCAGTGCTGTGTCCTCAATGGAGCAGAGCAAGGTGGTGTCTGTCTTCTACACCATCGTCATCCCCATGCTGAACCCCCTCATCTACAGCCTGAGGAACAAGGATGTGCAGCGAGCTCTGAGCAGGGCTAAGTATAGACTCTCCTTGTGGTGACTGTGCTGTGGGTCTCCTGACCCACCTGGAACACACTCCATGCCATCAGGATTCAGAGGATGGGGCTTCAGGAGTATGGGGTGGCTGGGTCTCTATGGATACCGAAGTCGCCATTCCAGGCTTTGACCAGGAGGCAGAGCGTATGTCTCAGTGGTCTTTATGTCCCCACTAGTGAGTAAAACATGCTTCATGGGGAAGGAAATGTTTGGAAACTTGAAGGATGAACAATTGAATGGATGGGTTTGGGGGGTGGATGGGTAGATGGGTGAGTGGGTGGGTGGGTGGATGGGTGAATGGATGGATGGGTGGGTGGATGGTTAGATGGGTGGGTGCATGGGTGGATGGATAGATGGATGGAAGGATGTGTGGATGTGTGGATGGATGGATGGGGGTGGATGGGTTGGTGGATGGATGGCTAGGAATATTTTATCCTACACATTATATAGGGTCTTGGTAATACTGCAATAGAAAATATCTATGTAAAAATTATA